CGCCCATCGAGAGCTCTGCTCGTTCAAGCTTGTTCCAACTATTTCTGTCTTGCTCACGCCTAGTGTGTATTCTTTCTTTCTTCGCGCATATTTCTTCAAGGTCACAATTATAACAAATTGAAATAGACTGTAGCTCTGCTGGTGCAGCGTATATTTCCGTATTTTATGGTTACATATAACCGTAGAGGTGGTTTGCGCTGGTGTTAAGTATATTTAGTAATATTGCAACCGAGATTAGACTCAGAGTTGACGTCAGAACCGGATAGCTAAAAGCTACGTAGTACTTATAGATAAATGCTTTCATAATGACAAAACAAACTGTTTCTTTAGCTCGTCTAGCACATATGTAACTGAAAATTTATTACTGAAGAAGAAAGAAGTAGAAAAAACGTTGCTCTTTGGTCCACGCAGGTAAAGATCCTGTCATAAGGTAAATGGTAAATGAAAATAAATTATGCAATAGAAAGTAACTTCTTGATGCGCTTTTTATTTTATGTTTTATTTACTACCCATGGTTTGTCTTATTATATCATTAATTTACTGCAAGATAGTGTTTAATGGTTATTAAAACCCTGACTCTTTAAATCATACCTATTCCTTAATATCTTCAATTAGCATTTAGTTGTAGTATTTCTGAAATTCCGTATAGCCGTGCAATAAATCAATTAAGAGAATGTTTAATTTCCCATCAAAAATAATAAATTATTATTTAACTAACATACCTGAACGTGTTAACGGTAAAATGAACAATGTATTTAAGTGCTACGTACGCGTGCGCGTGTGTGACGTTATGTAAAGTGAATATAAATATTAAAAAAATATGCATAGAACTTACAAATTTGTTATTTAAATAGTCAACGACATTCTAGTTGGAAGTGGCTTTTACAACATGATTACAGAGGAAATTTACCGTCAATAATTGCAGAAGCTGATTGTAGGAATTAATAGCAGTAAATATTCATGATAACCTACGAACGATTTATAATTATTTGGAAATGGTTTAAACACGTAATTATTGGGCGTTTTCATTTGGAAAAGCCGCTAAACGTTTTAATTTATGCATCACGGATGTAGGGGTGTATGTTGGGTTGTATATTTCAGTATTGATCGTTGTTAAACGTTTATGTTTTCACTAAAAGTGCATGAAAACGATTTTTCCCAAAAGTAGGATGTAGCTTCTTAGTCCAAAATATCTCCACAATTTTGACGAAATTTTTGAACCTGTTTTTAAGAAAAAGTTAGAAATCCAGATACAACAAAAACGCTTCATCTATACGGCAATAATTTTGGACTAAAGTAAATTCAAATTATAGGAAAAACTCACAAGAGATATTTTTTTATAAAATCTGAGGACATAGGTGGTAAATTTATATCTTATTATTTCCCACATAATCATGTTTGTGTTTCGGACAATGTTGCGCAAAGACGGAACGTAGGGCGGAAAGCCCTCTTCAGCATTCTTTTAGGAATCGTGGGAATGAGGTGAGTGATGATGGTTGAGGAGGAAAATGAAGACGGAATGAGTCCTAATGTTTGGATAAGGGCAGGTAGAAAATACCACAAATGGCGCAGTAAACGCCATCTATCTGTAGCACGTTGCTACATTTTAAGATTACGTACGCTCCAAGAAGGTCCAATTGTGTGGGTATCTAGTTGCTGAAAACGAATCCCGGCGTAGCCAACCTCAACGTGATAGGCAGGTTACCATAATCGAATAAAATAATTCGAAGTGGTCTGTATTCTGTCGAAACTGCCAGACGCGGATCGCGATTTCGATCTTTTTGGATCTCATCAGCGCGTCGCAGGCAGCTCCGACAGAACACAGACCAACTTTTACCTGCTGTCTTAACAGTGCGTTTTAGAAAATACTACAAATGGCGCAGTAAACGCCATCTGTAGCACGATGCTACATTTTAGGATTACGTATTTTTCAACAAGGTCCACTTGTGTGGATATCTACTTGCTGAAAACGAATCCTGGCGTAGCCAACCTCAACGTGATAGGCACGTTACCATAATCGAATAAAATAATTCGAAGTGGTCTGTATTCTGTCGAAACTGCCAGACGCGGATCGCGATTTCGATCTTTTTGGATCTCATTAGCGCGTCGCAGGCAGCTCCGACAGAACACAGACCAACTTTTACCAGCTGTCTTAACAGTGCGTTTTAGAAAATACTACAAATGGCGCGGTAAACGCCATCTGTAGCACGATGCTACATTTTACGATTACGTATGCTCCAAGAAGGTCCACTTGTGTGGATATCTACTTGCTGAAAACGAATCCCGGCGTAGCTAACCTCAACGTGACGCGCTGATGAGATCCAAAAAGATCGAAATCGCGATCAGCGCCTGGCAGTTTCGACAGAATGCAGACCACATCGAATTATTTTATTCGAAGGGCAGGTAGACCAGAAATTGAACCAGTAATGTTCCGAAATCCAGATCTTTAGATAATGCCACTGGGCGATACGCGTATGCTAAACACCGCAAACAAAAGAACAAGTCAATCAAATGCCATGAGTGGTAAAAATGTCTCCTAATCAGCAGCTAAGAAAGAAGAAGAAGAGGAAAGAAGGAGTCAACTCTTTTGAGCATCCGAAGTGTAATGATTTTTCACGATTTTACAGAAAAGTAGAATGATATGGTTAGGATACCATGCGGCTTATAAAGCAATTTGAAATTTATTTACTCAGGCCGGTTCTCACGTGAAAAACGTTTAGTGGACATTTAAAGATTGGCAACTATCCATTGCCGGTTAAAAAATTGCATAAAGAAAGTTCAATGCTCCGTACCACGCGTGAATAAAAAAAACTGCGTAAAAGAATGTTTTCCTTCCCGACTACATGTGATGTCTCATGTCAGAACGGACCATTTGGACATTATAGGCAAGCGCAATCTGAATCGTTAAAGAGCACATGTTACGTTTTTGTCATTTTGCGTCGAACAAAGTGCTAATTGGCCACTGATATCTCTCGTTGCGCACCGACGGAACACAATTATCGCTAAATATGTCTACAAATTGTGAACGAGCAAGAACACCGATCGATTCCGACAAGGTAATAGAAATAAAGCCGGGAATTAATAGAAAAGATCGAACAGTTAACACGCAATCTTAAGCCAATTAGATATCTGTCGGATTTAACTGACAATCTTGGCAAAAGGACATCAAAGTACTAAACATATATACAGGGTGGTCTATAAAGAGCTATCATATAGGAACCGGTGATGGTTGAATATTCGTCATAGTGTATTCTTCCAACTCTCAGGATATAAAAAAATATAAAATTAAGTTAGATTCCTGACCGTTACTATGCTTGAATAAACCGAAACGTTACAAACGCCACCCTGGAAGAACTTTATTATTAGAATTTCAAAATGCACAAGAGATGATAGAAGAAAAAACTAAGGTCAATATATGAAGGCGAAGTCAGCAATAAACAAGAAAGAAATTTTTTAGGGCTTTGTCTAACATATTTTGTTGTATAAAACAGCCCGTCCCTTACCTAGTGGTTTGTTACAGACATCGACTTCCCAAATGGAGCCGTGCATAAATACAAATCATTTATCTGAATTTCAAATCACATGATAGACAATCGAAGAGAAAATCAGGGTCAATTCGGGAAGGCGAAATCTCCAATAAACAAGAAGGCAATTTTACTGCTTTGTTTGACGTATTTTGTCATATATAACAACTCGTCTCTCATAAAAACCCAATGGTTTGTCGTAGACTTCGCCTTCCGAAACTGACCCGAGCAAGAATTCAAAACATTTATCAGAATTTCACGTGAGAGAGCCGATCAAAGAGAAAACAGGGTCAATTTGAGAAGGCAATTTTACTGCTTTGTTTGACATATTTTATCAAATAAAACAACCCGTTTCACATATAAACCCAGTGGTTTGTTGCAGACTTCGCCTTCCGAAACTGACCCAAGCAAGAATTCAAAACATTTATCGGAATTTCAGAGACTATCGAAGAGAAAACCAAGATCAATTTAGGAAGGCGAAGTCTGCAATAAACAGGAATACGATTTTACCGTTTTATTTGACATATTTTGTCATATAAAACAATCCTAGTCTCTCTTATAAATCTAAAGGTTTGTTGCAGACTTTGCCTTCCGAAATTGATTCGTGCGTGAAATCAAAACATTTAGTGGAATTTCAAATCATTTGGGAGACTTTTGAACTATTGTGTAGGTACCAATGTCAGAGGAGGAACGGGTCCAATGTTTTAAACAATCGCCTCGATAAATATCCTGAAAATGTGCTGCGAATGCCTACATGTAATTTATACAACAATGTATTCTGCTGTTGCGATTAGAGCATTTTGAAAGGTGTATAGCACAATTTAAGACCACTTATAGATAAATGTTAATTATGAGAAATTGATTTCTTCCGTTTTATTAGAGAATGCGTAACGTCCTTTACACTTTGTGGTAATATTAAAGATACTTTTATGGTATAATGGACCGTAACGACCAAACTACCAATCTTTTATGTAAGTATATGATGCTTTTAAATTAATATCGAACGTTATTCGACAAAATTTCAATATTATTAACATTCGTCGTAATAATATTATAACGTGTTCCTCTCCGGTTAATTCATTTCCTCATTTCTCGCAGATATAATGCACGCCTACCCGCCACTCGTTCGCCTACTTTTAGACGACCATACATATGCACAGAATACACACACATTCACCCAACTACACACACATACACTAAAACGTTAGCCGCTGGCGTCTCAATTACGAATCGCAAAGTGGCCATCACCTCGACATTGGCAAAGAACAACACCACACGACAACGACGAAGAAGAAGTAGAAGACGTAGAAGAAGCAGAAGAGGAAGAATCAGCAATAGCCGCTACCTTCTTCTTCTACTTCCACTTCTTTGATTTAACAGTCCGCGTGCATTGAACATCTTCAGTACGGCTCCAACGGCCTTCACAACCTCTTCTTCTTACAATTAATGATTGTTACCTAGTGAGTTGTACGCTGCCAAGCACGCGGAAGGACTCTCGACACGCACGCTGCTCGTCCGAGGGTGCGAATCGAATTGCGGTTTACGCTGGCGCACGAGCCAAGGACGCGCGGAAAATACGTGCACCTGCCAGGGAATTTCCCGGAAGCGGATTCTTTTTCGTAAATTGTTCATTTTTGTTAGATCGCGTGCACGTTACAGTGAACGGACAGAGAGATGGATCGATGATATGAGTGAGGAAACTGGTTGATTCTTACAAGGAAAGGCAGGATTAGTTGTAGTACATAGCCAGAAGAAGAATTCGAAGAAGAACTTAACGAAGAAAGCAAAAACCCCATCAAAGGAACGTCGTTATGTTGAATTCGTACAATTGTTAAAGAATGTTGAAAGAATTCTGTTTACTGCAGGACTTCACAATGAATTTGCCCAGGACGTAGTTAACGTACGAGGACGTCATGTGAAGAGACTAAAAAAACTGTCACATATTATTTATTTATGCCGTGTAAAAAGGAATCTTCCACATGAAACATGTCCATATGTCTACAAAAACATTAAAGAAGTTCGAGCTTTCTTCTTCATAGCCGATTTCGGTTGACGTATTATAATTATTGTTACTGATCGCTGAAGTGAAAATAACGGTACAATTAGAGATCTGAAGTGCATTAGTTTTCTTTCATATTCTACGTGCCTTCTTGTATATTCGGAATTAAGAGATTCGTATTCAGGTACGTGCCGCAATCCAAAAGGAGCTTTTAATGAGGAACACTGGCCACTTGAACGGGACAAGATCGAAATCCGATAGCGCGTTCGACAAGAAGAAATCACCACTATTCGAAGCCCGGTAAGTAGGTTTATAACATAATAAAAATGGATAACTTAATATAGCGCGGACAGACCGGAATTTGCGGTAAAATCGCGTGGCATTTTAACAACCGAGTAAATAGCCGACGACGATTGCAGTGAAAAACGAGCCACGTTGCCAAACTGATAACGTTAACTGAAGCAATTTCATGCGGAAACGTACAACCTACTTATAATTTTACGCGATTAATAAACAATTCTCGTGTGAGACTGATTTTACTTTAGGGTTAATTTTACGCACGATTACTATTTACTATTCTCATTACCACCAAAGGGTGTTCAGTCCGAAGACTTGGCAGTCACGCACCTCTTTCCTGTCTTGAGTCAATTTTCACATTTTCAAAAAATCTACTAATCCTATGAATTTTATCTATTCTATTATATTTTTAATTTCTGTCCAAATCTTCCTTTTTCCAAAAACTAGAACAACCCAAATATCTATTTGCGAGTCGTAATCTAATCTAAGTCTTTATCTGCCCCTCATTATGCCTGTTTCTACTTCTAATATGTTTCACCTTTCAGAAGGGATCCTACCACTATTTTATCACCCTATTCGTTGCTGAAAATTTTGAATAAAAAACGGACAAATAATTGAAAAATAGAATTCATCATAATCATCACAGGGTCGTCAGTCCTAAGACTGGCTGGACACGTACCATATGTGCTACTTTGAATTAATGGTATGGAAACATCTCACAATCAGAAAGCTAAAAAATAATAGAACACAAAATTACCCTTTAATAAACACAGTTTTAACCTTAACACGGTAATTATTCTATTAATACTTAGCACATCAAAATTATTAATAACAATCATTTTAATATTGCTAGTTAACGAACAGTTAGAGTTTTAAAATTGTTAGTTTTCTAACTCTAGGCTTTAAACGGATGCCACAGGCGACGATCGATACCAACGTTTCTACTTCTTCAACAAAGTTTCTATTTTAGTGTTAATTGTTTAATTAATCCTCATCATCATCATCATAAAGTCGTCAGTCCTAAGACTGATTGGACACGTACCTCCACTCTTTCCTATCCTGAGCTAATCTTAGCGGTTTCCTAAAAGTTAAATATCTCACATCCTTAACATTTATTTAAGGCTACCTCTAACACATTCTTGATAGATGCTTGCACCACTATATCATGTGCAAATCTAAGCATACAAATCTTTTACTCCATTATATCTATCCCTAACGTTGTAACGATATAATCATTGAAAAACAGAATTATTAGCAAAATTAAATGATTAACCGATGGTAGAACTCGAATACTTGAAGACTGCACAAGAAAAGTGGCACGTGTGTCAACTTTTTAAACAGTATCTTCAAAGGTGACGAAGGAGCGAATGTGTGAAAACACACTCTGGATATCAAAGTAAACTGCCGCTTCACGTAGTTTAGTATTTGTTAAAAAAATCGAGGTCTATACATGTGTATCTATATATAAGGAATATTATGTATCCTGAGGATGCTGAATTTTGAAAATAGGATGCTTTTTGTGCTGTCAAAGAAAGTTACCAAAGCAGAGTTCTTCGCTTGTATCTATTTTTTGATAGATCAAATGGTAATAGAAATTTATTACGAAAAATATTGTTTATCACATCTTTTTCCAAAAAGGCCTATTGTTTCATTATCATAAGGTTATCAGTCCTAAGAATGGTTGGACACGTACCTCCACTCCTTCCTATCCTGAGCTAATTTTTGTATTTTCCTAAAATTAGAACAACCCATTTCCTTAACTATTTGCAAACAGTAATCTAATCTAGGGATACCTGTAGTCTGATTGATTAGACTTTCACGTCTAAGAAGATGTCCTACCAGCCTATTTCTTATTGACTTCTTGTCCTCTGTTTCTCATACCTCTTCATTTCTAACCTTCTCTATCCACGGTATCCTCATCATTCGCTTGTAACACCACATTTTGAACGCTTTTACGCTTCTAACCTTTTCTTTTCCGCTACGCCCACTGTCCATGTTTCGCACCTGTACAACGCCGCGCTTCAAACATCCCCCTTTTACAACCTTTTTCGAATTTCTAAATTAACCGTTCGCGAGCACAGAAGTGACTTCGTCCTGACTTATCTGACTTCCTAGATACCTAAAATCGACTACTACTTCTAATTTTTCTTCTCCGCCCTTTACCTATTGTCTAACTTGTTAAAATTCATTTCTTTTTAAAATAATTAAGAACGCGTCTTAAAAGGTTATTTTAAAATTTGAGAGAATGAAAAATGTTTTACTTCACAACACTTGTTGTTTCTTAAATTAACGATAAGATAAATTGCTGTTAAATTGTCTTTTTATAACGTTGACAAATTAATTTCATGGGAACTTCCTTAAATATTTGCATATCTTGATTGTATTTCATGCAATGTGTTTTACCAAGAGAAACTTTCAACTTGGCAGGTATGCAGTTAATGAGTTAGCATATAATGCAGTACGTAACAGGCATAAACATAAGTTTTGTCTATGGCACAGGTCATTTCTCGCATCCTAGTTTTCGAATATTTTACTTAAGCGTATCGAGGTTAAAAACGTTACTATAAGAAATTAACATTAACTGAATCTAGAATTTTAAACTAAAAAAATACTTTCTTCCATACGGACAAGTCATCATTTTAGTTAATGAATTAATCTTAATTAGAATACAATTAATACATAAAACTCTTTTTAGGGTTCCATACCTTAAAAGGAAAAACACCTTTGTAGAAACATTTCGTTGTCCGTTTGTCTGTCTGTCGAAGAAGCATTGGCTTATATTAAAGGGAAAAATCCGAAAACCGTAAAGTTGCAGTTACATCAGAATGAAATAATTTTTTAATTGTAATATTGTAATTATACGTTCTGGGACTGATTTTGAGGAAAACTTAAAACATGACTGGAAAAAGCGGGAAAAACCTTCGAGATTTCCGTGACGCTATAGGTTTGTACGGAACTCATTATGTGCGAGTCCGACGCTCGCACTTGTCAGGGTTTTTTTTATACGGTGGATCGTTTATCAGAAATCAGTGTAGAAGAATAAGTTTTCCACAATAAAATTCTACATACGATTCATGTTATCCAAAAGTCACGTAAGGTAAAATCAATTACGAATATCAAATTGTTAGCAGCATTAAGTATATGCAGAGGAAAACTCCTGATTCGGTGAACGACATGACCATATTTTATCAACCATGTATATCTTCCGTTTCTCTGAAAAGAATTCTAAACTGGCAGTCTTTTGAACAAAACGTAATAGTCTTATTTTTATTTGCGTTTATTAGACATATATTACTTTATTATTTATATGAAAAGATGGGTGAAAGTATTTGTACGAATTTTCCTGTACCACGTCGTATTTTTTAAAAGATGATGGCGCTCTTTGGTAGTAGCATTAGTATAACATCCCTAAGTTCGGTTAATAATTCGCCACTAATGTATACGCTACGTCGAACGTTCAATTTTTCAAGTAGATACTTTCGTCAAGCATTTGAAATATTACAGTTAGTAGTAATTACCAATAGATAGCGTTAAACTGCCAATAACTTGCTTGCATTATTAACTTTTTGAATGTTTGACACCTTTGGCTTTATTGTATTTAACGCATGACTGAAAATTTGTGAATAAAAACACATCTTTTAACCTCTTACAGTCTTAAAAGTTCAAATACATTACTAATTGTCAGCTCCATATAGGCGTCGAATATAGGTATAGGAAACATGTTTAGCCGATTTCGTATATATTATTTGGCATTTATGTATAATTTACGAAAACGTTTGTGCGTTATTTTACTATTAAAAAACAAAACAATGTGAACCACCCTTTTCAATTCAAGAAATAGAAACTGTTTTATACGAGGGTGGATTGATAAGTTTCCGGCCTAACCAAGAGATGACGCCACTAGGCCTACCTTGAGGTGACATTCTATAGTACCATCCTTGAATAGCTTGTAGCTATAGTTTCAGCCCGATCTCCTTGCTAGTGTAGGTTTGACAGCACGCTGAACAAGACGCCTCTGTGGTTTTCGTAAAAATGGAAAAGCAGGAAAATCGTGCTGTCATCAAATACTTTTATTTGAAGGGGTTAACGCCGAAGGAAATTAAAAAAGAGATGGACTCAACACTGGGGACATCCTCCCCGTCATATTCAACCGTTAAGCAGTGGGTTTCCGAGTTTAAAAAGGGTCGTGTGAGCACCTCTGATGGGCCTCGCTCAGGACGCCCCGTTGAGGTCACAACTCCAGATATGATCGAAAAAATTCATCAAATAGTGCTGGGAGACCGCAGATTGAAAGTGCGTGAGATAGCTGAGACCTGTAAGATGTCATATGAACGTGTGCAACATATTTTGCACCAACATTTGCATATGGAAAAGCTCTGTGCAAGATGGGTGCCGCGTTTGCTAACAGTCGACCAAAAATTGATTCGAAAAAACATTTCTACCGCAAATTTGTCATTGTATAAGCGTAATCCAAGCGAATTTTTGCGTCGATTCGTAACCGTTGACGAAACGTGGGTCCACCACTACACTCCTGAAACCAAAGAACAGTCTAAACAGTGGATTGGACCAGGGGAACCAACTCCAAAGAAGGCAAAAACAATTTTTTCGGCGAACAAGGTTATGGCTACTGTTTTTTGGGATGCAAGAGGTATTATATACATTGATTACCTTGCAAAGGGTAATACTATCACTGGTCAATACTACGCAGACTTATTGCAACGTTTGAGCCACGAGGTGAAAATTAAACGACCTCATCTGGCGAAGAAAAAAATCTTGTTTCATCACGATAACGCACCAGCGCACACGTCAATCGTTGCGACGGCTAAAATCAACGATCTAAAGTTTGAATTGATGCCGCACCCTCCTTACTCTCCAGACCTAGCCCCGAGTGACTATTTTCTGTTCCCTAATCTCAAAAAATGGCTTGGCGGTAAGAGATTTGCGGACAATGAAGAAGTAATCGAAGCTGTAAATGGTTATTTTGAGGAGCTTGACGAATCAGT